CTCTCTTTCTTTATCACTTTTTCTTCTTCTACATAACTGAACTCAGTCAGGCCGAACTCTAAGGCAGACCTGAATTATAACAATCATTAATAAAAATTATGTTACTGATAAAATAGTTTATTAGAAAACCACCTTGCAAATTAGGTAACACAACCAGTTAAATTGTTGACATAATCATTCCAGGTGCTGTTTTTAAAAGCTTGAGACTGTTAAATAAATGGTTGAAGTTTCCTTTTGCAGGATTGTTGGTATGGCAGGCATAGCCCAGTCACTGTTGCTGGTCTCTTTTTGTGGCTTATGCACTTTTCTTACTTCAATATCATTAAGTGCAATTGCAACTAATGGTGCAATGAAGGTATTGGAGACATGTACTTTTCTTTAGTTGCTGCATTTCTTTTCTTGTCTTCATTTTCGATGACTGCTGAATTATATAGTTATTAATGATTGGTAATTTACGTGGTAGATGGTTAATGCAGGATGACTATGACCTATTGTGAGGCTAGGAAGGTTTAGGGTTGATTTTAGGACTAAAACCAGAAGTGAAGTTTTGTACCACCTCATCAGATTTTTCATATTTAAAACATGCCTGCCTGTAATCTGCCTAGGTTTAGATAACATAAATGCAGAGTGTTTCAACAATAGTGTTCTGTGTGCAACCCTCTGGCTCTTGGCTCTCCTCACCTTGCACGGTTGCACCAACAAATATACAGCAACAAGGGAAACAATATCAGCACTAGGGACGTTTGTCTGGTGAAATCCTACTTTAGTTGATAAACTCTAGCAGTAATTTTGGCCTAGGAATAGGTATCTGTGACTCTATCCTAAATGCCTTTGGTAGTGGTAGTGATTTAAAATGCGTGCCTAGACGAACAGGCGAGGCACAACACTTTGAGAAGGTTGACGCCTGGTGCGCCGTGCAACTTGGAGTGCAAAAAAATGCAAAAAAAAAAAAAAGATTTTATAAGACCCTAATGTGGACTTGTTTGGGCTTGCCTCAAGAGGCTTGGTACAAAGGCAGCTCATAGAATCAAGAATGCAAAATGTTTAGCATGACACTAACTACTTTAAGTAATGATTGGGAAAAAAAATAAAGAGATTGAGAGTTTTACATGCATGAATATGGTTTATATGTTATATTTGATTTTATTTTTAAACTTTCATTTTTAATATGTTATACATGTTATGTTTATGTATTTTAATTTGAGATAAGAGGTTTTCTTTAAAACATTTATGTATTTTCATTTAAGTTTTTATTTTAATATTATGTTTAATATTTTAAAATTTGAAATGTTTTTGCATTTTTTCTTTTGCTTTGAAAGGGTGGGTGCCTCGCCTTGCACCTTGCACCTTGTGCCTTGGGTGCAAAATGCCTCTTTTTTTTGTGCCTTGCGCTTTTAAAATATTGGGTAGTGGAAAGAAACATGTAGTTCCTTGCTATGTGCGGTTACATTAAGCATACCAACCATGATATCACCATTAAATTGTCTTGCTCCTGCTTGGCAAACTGTGGGTCTTCAAGCTTTGGTTTACTCTCCTTGCCATTGAGGAATCCCGGCTTACCTCTTCCCCCACTTATAAGCTTAGCAGATAGAGACCACTCTTGGAAGTTAGTCCCATCAAGTTTTATAGTAGTTATCATTCCACTAGAGACATCAACACTTCTGGGAAGAACATTGGAAGGAATCTTAGTATCGTTGGAAATTTCCATAGTTCACAACTTCTGAGAAAAATAAACACTCTGTCAAGAACACTTTCTTGTGACTCCGAGAGCAGCCCAAAAACAACTGGACAAACACAAACTCAAAATAGTGGGGTATATTCATGGTTTAGCAGCAAATAGCCAAATAAGGCCTTAAACAAGAGTTGACGGCAGAATAGAAGGGAAGAAAAAATCACCAAAAACTTTCTAGGGCTCAAAAAATTGTGAAACCACTCCCTTTCATTAAAGAAATATAAAATGACTCAAGTGACCAAGGTTTCAAGGATTGAAAGGGCTGCAATTAGCCGAACAAGTTAGAAAACTCGTATCTGTATTTTTGTGCTATTTTAGTTAAATAAAATACAAAAAAGTATCCAAACACCTTCAAATGCTCACAATGTATATACCAAAAATCTTCTAAAAGAAAGGTACACCAAACCATATCAACGACTAAGCATGGCTACCACCAACTGTATGGACTGCTGACATCATCTGGTGGTGGTATGGTGTTAGCAGGTCTCCATGAGAGAGATGATCAACTATACATTGTGATGCCAACTTGTGAAACTCTATAAAGGTGTATGAGAAAGGAAGAAGAGAGGAGAAGGAAGAGAGGAAGGAGAGAAGGAAGAGATACATTTGAATGAGTGGGGTTACTGTTCACTCTCACAAAGTTGTCTCTTTATATTTAGTATGAAATTACATACATGCCCTTAGATAGGCACCCAAATACGAAGAGGATATGGACAAAAATTCCCTTACATAGGAAACATATTCTCAACAGGTGATGGATAAAAGGTGGTTTGCTGTTTCCACTTCACATGGGAAGAAAACAAATCCAGCTGCTGGTGATACCATTCCTCCAATTAGCTTATTTCTTGTAAGACATTTTCCTAGCATTGCAATCTGTGTCAAGACAGACTTTTGTAGGTACTGGGGGTTCCCATAATTCCTTGTTGGTGAAATTGCCATTCACAACTGCACATAACTGCCTACAATACAATAAGAGTTTACATTGAACATGTCTGCCTTGTTTCACATCCACATCCTCTTATCAGCAGCTATGAGAATAGATAGGTTGTTCTGGATTTTCTATACCAAACCAGTCATGCCATCTGAGTCCTAATCGTGCAAGTTTCTTTTGAATCTTGGAGTCCAACTTCCCTGGTCTCATATTTTTGCTGAATTGTTGTCTCATTATGCTTTCCATGAGTGGTCTGTCATTGCACTGTGGGTAGTTTCCGTGAGTGGTCTATCTTGCAAGTAAGGCATGATGTATTTATGATGTAAGATAAAGAATTGACAACTAGGTGAGAAGCTCATCATTGAAGGAGATGACAAGCAGGCAAAAGAAATTATTTGCTCATTAAGAAACTTCTGTGTATATGCTCATGTTCTATTGCTCTATAATCTTTTAAAGGTAATAAGACCTTTTGGTGTCTTTTGCTTTGAATGAGTTTGAGAAATCTCTTATCTTTCTTAGAAGGTTATGCTTTCTTAGTTTTGGGTGTTCCTAGAAACCTTAATGTGAGGCTAGGCTATCCTTTATCCCCCTAAGTGTGATTTCAGAATCCTTCTATGTTATTCTAATATAACTTATGCCTCCCTAAGAAGGGCCATTATCCAATGTTGGTCCCAGCTATCTGGGGTCTTGGGAGGTTGGTGCAAATTGAAGGCTTTATAAGAAAAAGGTATAGACAAAAAGAACCTGGGTGTGGGGTGTGGTAGTGTGATAAAGTTTATTAGCTTGTTCTTTAAAAGAAGATATGGCCTTGTATTGAACGGAATGGAGTAATTAGATTTATGCCGCTGTCCCTACTCGGGTGGGGTAAGTCAAATGTTGATTATCATCTAGTTGTCAAAGAAGGATTGAGATGTGTCTGAAAACTGGGGAACTTTCTGCTTTCTCTTTCTTGCTTCTAATTCCATTTCTTTTGACAACAATCCTATATTACAGTGACTTAGATGGTTTGACGTGCCTGTGTCACACATTTCAGTGTTGAATAGCCATGGGTTGATTTGTTTCTGGTTTAATATATATTGAAGTAAAAAGGCAAACCAACTGGACTAGGGTCCTGGTTCCCAGGTCAACTGATTCAATTGTCACTTGCAGGGTGGAGGACCATATTATCTCATTGGTCGAGCCCTTGGTCCAGAGGTTGGAATTAGCATTGGGTTGTGCTTCTTCCTAGGGAATGCAGTTGCTGGAGCTATGTAAGTGTGGGTCTTCTATTTCTTTTCCTTTGTTATGATATTAATGTGACTTTTGGTAAGTTCAGTAAGGACAGTAGATCCCATGTCCATTATGTTCTTTCAATATTGCAGAATTGGATGTTGCAGGAAAAATTGCACTAATGTTTTCTTTCTTCTGTTGTTTCTGACTCACTTGTGGCTTTAGGTATGTTTTGGGAGCTGTAGAAACCTTCCTAGATGCTGTGCCAGGTGCTGGGATATTTAGAGGTAACTTCTTGATGAACCATTTTTTATGGAAGGCTTTTACTTTTGTGCATATGTTTTTATCCTGCATTAGTAAAAGGTCCACCTTTTCACCTTGAGCCTTCACCATCGCAAAAATATTAATGTTGTCTGCAGACTGAAGGTGAGTGATTGTTATGTTATTCCTTCTCTCCTCAGTCCTAGAGATTATTTGGCTAAACACTTCTGCCATCAACGTTAAAAAATGGGAAAAGGGGGTTACCTTGTCTTAAATCTCTAATCGCTGAAAATAAATGCTTGACCAAACCATTAGCCAACACTGAGTAATGACATGTGTGCAAGCAACCATCCATCAACTTACACCACCTCTCCAAAACCATTATTCTTGAGGATCTCTCTCAGGAAAATCCAATCTACTAGATCATAAGTCTTTTTCTAAGTCAAACTTGTAATCCAACCCTTCAGAATCAGATCTCGTCAATTCCTCCACACACTCATTAGCGATGAGAATTTGGTTGGTTTTTTGTCTACCAAATTAATAAATTCGATAATTATACTTATATACATTTATTACATATGTATAAGTTAAAAAATCAATTAATTTTCTTAAAACTTTTTAATCTTCTTTGTTTTAAAGACAACAAAGCAGATTTAGATTAAATCTGAATCCAATATTTCTGGTTGGATTCAGATTTGAAGTTTCAATAATTGGATCAGAGTCGGATTCGATCTGAATGCAACCTGATTACAACCCTCTGTGTGTGTGTGAATTTTAATGGGCAGAATGTACTTTTGTTTATTCCTTCAATGGATAGGCATAGCTCATTTGTATTTTATTACGGTCCAATCCCACATATGAGTCATGTGTCCCCAGACCCAGGAAGAATCCTGTGAGTGAAAATTTGTGTGTATAATGATGACTAATGATAGTCTCCTCTGATGGGCAGAATGTACTTTGTGTTCATTCCTTTGGCTAGGCATATGCTTGATTGTAGTGTATTGCATCCCAATACCACATATGGGTCATGTGTCCCCAGACTCGAGAAGAATCCTGTGAGTGCAAAGTTGTATATGTATATGATGATTGATGGTGGTCATTCTAAATTACACAGTCAGATGACTATACAAAAAAAAGAAAAGAGCTACATAATCAAAATGGTATTGTCCTATCCCAATCACTCTTGATCTGGCTGTGCCCTTAAAACCATTCAACACCAAAGCACAGCACAGTCCATAATGTATGAGCATACAGAACCAATTTGTGGTCAAGACATATCTGGAATTGACTCCTCGTATAGTTGGGAAAAGGCTTAGATGATGGTGATAATATATTTGGAATGGATTCAAAATGACTAACATAATTTATCACATTAGCTTGATATGCAGCATTCTTGCAGGTGCACTCTGGTATGTGCCAGCAATCTTTCTTAATGGGGTTTAAAGAGCACTGTATTCAAGCTTATGCATTGAATACAAGCACACATGCATTTATACCCATTAAATTCATATATTTAAGTGTGAAGAAGGACACATTAAGTTCATCTAGATACAATGTTAAATGATATTATTACATATTGTGAAAGGTACTTTGTCCATTCCTCAACTAGGTAAGTAATTACTTAGTTCTTATTTGTACACATGATCTTATGGATATGCAGACTTGCAAGTATTTCATGTGCTAATAATCTCTTATGGGATTTTCCATTACCTGGCACCAAAATTGAGTTTCAAGATGATGGTTTTCCATATAATTGACTTGGTCAAAATCTTCACCACTGACGATGTGACAATGTTATTCGGGATAACATTGTTTTAGGCTCATATTGGCATAAATTGTATTTTACCAGCCACTAGAGGTTGACAAATAGTCTAGGTTTTTTCATATTGGTTTTGTCCTTCGCAATCATTTGTGCTTATGTACTTGATGCAAAAATGGAAGCAAGGAAAGCAACTAAAAAAGAAGATCCTTGGTGAGTACATCTTGCTGGACAATTGGGAGCAACATTTTCAAAAAAAAAAAAAAAAATGGGAGCAACATTCAGTTGGATTCAAAAATCAAGTAATAATTTGGCAGATGGACTAGCTAAACAGGGGACTAGCAGATCTGATATGTATTTGGGGAGGGGTGAATGATTTGTAATTCCTGATTCAAGCAGATTGTGGGCTGAGTACTCTTGTATCATTGCTAGCTCAAATTATGGGATGTGAACTAGCTTGTACTGTATATAACACAATTCTTTTCATGAATTAATAAAACTTAAGTTGCCAATAAAAAAAGGATTGTTAGCACATATCAAACAAATAAATGTAAGAAAAGAGGTCAGATGGCAGACTTGCAGAATGTACTGTTAACCAGAAAAAGAAATGACTTTTTGACCAGTCAAACCTTAGTCAATTTGGCTGAAAATTGGTGGAAATAAAGTACATATAGAAGTGCGCCAACCATAAGTTTTGGGCTGAATCAGACACGAGGAACTGTCCCAACTGAAGGCTTTAAGATGACTGGTTTTTTTGTGTTTTTGCAAATTGTGGTCAAGGTCAAGTCCATGGGTTGACCTGTGGATCCCACTGGCCGTCATTCACAGTAGTACTGTAGTATAGCCTTTGTTTCAACTTTTGGTCCCTGTTGGTTTGGTCTTTAGAGATTGAAGTATCAATCTTCTAGAAATTTATTACTTATAGTATTTTCTGGACCTACTGTTTATAATAATTCATATAATCCTGGTTTCATACATCAAGTTAGTTTTAGTAGATTTTGTAGATTTTATAAAGGTGTTAGTTTGACAAAGTTTGTAATTTTTAGAATTCTGAATACAAGTTGGAAGTTGTTTACAAGAGTGTTAACCAGTCTTGTAAAGAGCATTCTAATTGTACTGTTTTTTTCTCCTGCTACGGAATTATTAAAGAGTTATTTACTGTTTCTACCATAATCAAGAGCTATAGTAAAAATTTTTCTTGTTTATTCTTCTATTCCCTTCTTTATTTGCTTGTTCGTGTTAGGGACTTTGAGCTTTAGTTCTATTTAGACATGATTACTTGTAGTAAGCTGGACTGAGGATGTTTTTATTGTAGCATTGATAATTGTTATTTATAGTGTTGGAGGTATAATTGAAAATTGCTATTTTAACTTGTACCAGTATAATAATTTGTTAGTAAGAGTATAAAAATTTCTTATCTGCAAAAATCCTTTTTCTTCTAACTTAAAGTTGTTAATCATCTGATATTTCTGACTTGATTTATGGGATAGTTCGGAACAGTCCACTTCAACCACGAACATGTTTTATGTGCTGATCAATGATAGTGATGCATTTATTTTCTTATAAGAGATACGAAAGCATCTTACACCACAACATTGTATTGGAATCTGCTGACAGGATAACCCCCGCTCCCCACAGCTGACACAATTTTGCTGTTCAGTGCTGTAGCATGCTTTTGTACCCCTTAGAAGCAAGGTTTAAAATGTCGATGTCGGTGGAAATGTCGGTCATCCAAATATAAGAAATATGTCGGAAATGTTGGAAATATCGTATGGAAATATTGTAAAAATTATAGACATGGTGGAAACATTGTAAAATATGCAAACTATGGAATGATATTTTATGAAATGACAAAAGAAGCATAGGCACACCTTTTTAAATTATTATCTTGTTCCAAATTATTAAACAAAACTAAGAAACTAAGGTTATAGACAAAAGAATATGTTCTGAAGTTGCCCTGTAAACCTTAAGCTTTAGAACTTCTTGATAGAATTAGTTAAAGCAAAATTTAAACTCAAAGAAAATGTAAATGGTTGTAATAGATCTACCAAATAATCTACTACAAAAACAAAAACTATTATTTAACTTCATGTTTGAAATGAATATTGAGCTAGCTCAAAGTTGTAATCATGTAAGTTAGGTGGACAATAACTTGTTACTTCACTCACATATCTACAATATTGTCTCCAACATATGTTATAATAATATCTCTTGTACTCCACATAGTACTGGTAGTGTTCATTAGGGAATATGTCAATTCTAGTAAAATTTCATGTTGCTACCCATGGAAGTGAAAATGGAAATATGTCCTAGATACTATCTCTTGTACTCCATATAGTACTGGTAGTGTTCATTGGGGAAATGTTGATTCCAGTAAAATTTCGTGTCGCTACCATGGAAATGGAAATATTAGGGAAATTAGGAAACATTTTAAACCATGCTTAGAAGAAGGATTGTTTACAATGCTTTTTATGTGCTTGTATTCGGTTTGGAAATTTCCACTTATGTCAACTTCCAATCTATTTATCTTAGTGTTTCTGCTATGAAACTTATTGGTGGTATGTTTGAAATGTGTTGTTTTAAGGATAAGTAATCATCAGCTACTAAAATATTTGTTTTCCCTGATTTTGTCAATGTAGGGAACGTGGTGAATGGAAATGAAAGTCCGAGCTTGCATGACCTGCAAGTTTATGGAATCGTTGTGACCATCATACTGTGTTTTATTGTATTTGGTGGTGTGCAAATGATCAATCGGGTGGCGCCTGCTTTCCTTTTGCCTGTTTTATTTTCGGTGTTCTGCATATTTACTGGGATTTTTTCTGCAAAAAAGGATGACCCTTCACGTGAGTTGTGCATTGTTTATATGGTTTATTCGCCATTAGTGCATACATTTTCATGTATCTGAATTTGAAGCCAGTTCTTGTGAGATAACCTAAATCACTATCTTATTTTAAACCATAAAGATAATCTGGCACAAAATAACATTCACATTGTGTACATGGATTTTGTTGCACTTCTCTCTCTCTCTCTCTCTCTCCATTTAGACAATGTTATTGCAGAGAGGTTTGCAGCGAGGTTAGGAAAAGAACATTTTGAAGGATGGGTGTACAGAAAATAGTCTGTTAATTGGGAAGTGCAGTCAAATTCTTCATGGTCTCTCAAAAGAAACTATTACAACAAATCTGTGGTTCTGGTTTTGTAGATATTGTTGCCAGTAAATATTATTCACAGTTGGCTGTCGGCCTTAATGAAATTCCTTCTCAGTTTCTTTATTTTTTAGGGATACCTCCTGTTTTGCCTTTATTTTCTATTTCTCATAATGTTGTCTTTTCCTATTATGTATTTTTTATTTGGACATGCATATTGATGTAGGACCAGCTTAGTTCTAGTCCTTAGAAATTGTTGAATGGTCTTCTTTGATCAGACTTTTATGGCTGTTGATGGCTGTAATGGCTTCTTGAAGGAATAAGAGAGAAAATAGGGAGAGAAAGAAGAGAGAAAAATACCTGGAATCACTCACAGGGTGCCTAGAATTAGGGGTGTCAATGGTATTCGAAAATCCGATTTCGAATTCGAGGTTCGACATAATTGAATCAAATTTGGATATGACCTGATTCGAGTATATAAATATCTGAATTCGATCAATTATTTAATTCTTATATAATATATAAAATATTTAATTGCTTTATATAATAATTAAATTATATAAATAATTTATATATTTTTATATAAATAAAATATTTATTAATTACATAAAATAATTAATTAGTTGAATTCGAATCAAATCGAATATTCAAATAATATTCGAATTCGGATATGAATTTTCAATATCCGTCGGATATCAAATCGTATTTGGATATGAGTTTTCAATATCCGTTGGATATCGAATCGAATTCGGATATCAAATTTTCTAATTGGATTCGAATTCAGATATTGCCTGATCCGATTTGAATTCGATCCGTTTACACCCCTACCTAGAATCACTCTAGGGCATGGTAGTCACTCACCATAATTAGCATAAGCTAAAGAAAACACAATAAACTTCATTTCTCTTTGTTTAAAATGTTCATGCATATTTGTAGACTCTAAACTCATAATAATCCTAGGAGTCAAACTATTTCATAATAGTCATAGGAGTCAAACTGTTAGACTCAATAATCCTAGTAGGACTTAAACTAAGTTGTCATATCCTATTTCAATTCAAAAGAATACTCAATAACTCTAATCCTACTAATGCAATGACTCTGAAATTTTAAACAATCAAACTATAATTAAACAAATTAAAGCCCATCATTGGACCCCACAGGAAAATGCAAAATGACAAAAACACACCTACTGTCCAAAAATACAGAAATACATAAAATTTCATAAAATTCCAATTTTGATTCTTCAGCTCCTGCATCACATATGGAACCATATTCTTTTTAATTGTTTAATATACGTATTGTTCATTTAAAAACATTAGTAGTTATTGCGTGGCACAATGCATTGGAGTCTATTTTTCATTCAGAAAGCATAACTAATTTAACATTATATTTCAGTTTCATAGGTTCAGTGCTTCTAAATGGCACCTATTGACTCACTTTTTGTTAAGGTTAAAAATAGCCAGTGTTATTTGTTTCAACCAGAATCATTTTCTTTTGATGGATCCGAGTCTGATGCTGAAAATTGTTTTTTCTACCTTTAAAAAGTGCATCAGATATTGGGTTGAGGTCTGTCTAGTTAGGATTGAAGTGGGTATTTAGATTCAAATGGAAGACTGTAGATTTAGTAACAGTATTTGAAATATTTGTTCATTTTGATGGCTATCTAGAAAAAGTTCACTTGGACTACATCTCTCTAATTACAATCAAATTAGGTCATCGTTTCATAAAATCTAGAGCTGACAAGCATGGGAACATGGGTTCAACTCTGAGAATGGCCACTTTGTGCCAGTTTTGCATGGACGCAGACATGGGAGCTGGAATATGTGTCCAGGAGTCTGACCTGGCAAGATAAGAAAACAGCGACTAGTGAATGTATATACTATTAAAGTAGTTTATATATATATATATATATATATATATTGAATCCTAACATTATATACTTGCCTAATAGTGTTGACTTCATTACTAAATAATGTTTAATAAGACAAGTTCATCTTGTAAACTAGCCTTTCGTTTATGTCAAATAAGCTAGGAGATAAGAAGGAAATGTAAAGTAGAAATATCTCCTAGAATCTGTGGAGTGTCAGACTCCAATGTGTGTCTGATGTGGATACATTATCCATTTAGGAGAGTCCATGCAATACTTGCTAAAAAATCCATAGGTTAGGTCTGTATCAAGTGTACCATTCCGAAGACCTTGGACAGCTTGGACCAGCATTGTGTAGTGCCATTCACTATGTTATTGGACTATAGAGTAGCCCCTGTACTAAGTATAGAGCAACTACACCTATATATTATTTTGTATTTGAGATTTACTATTTATATGATAAATTTAATTTGAGTTTCTTATTTTAAAAATTTAAATCAAGTTTTATTTGTAATTGGGAACCGGGACCCATACCATTGAAAGTTTCATAGTGAATCTTTTATTTGAATTTTGAAATTGGATYAAACAATATAATTGAGTCCTATTTTTTTTGATGAATAATAATAAATTTATTGATTCGGAAGCAAATTTAGAGTGAGTTCATGCATCATCCTAGCGAGAGGCGTGAGTTGCAGCCCCTCCTTGAATCTTACAAGTAAACTAGGAAAAAAAACAAGAATCACAACTGAGCCCAAAATAATTCTTCCCTATTTACCCCTTGCTTAGCTAACATATCTGACAAAGTATTTGCTGATCTCCCCACCCA